AATGCACTTCCCATTAAAATACCAACAGCATATTTCACAGACCTAGAACAAACTCACCAAAAATTCATCTGGAATAAAAAAAGACCCCAAATAGCTGCAGCGATCTTGAGAAAGAAGAACAAAGTAGGTGGGATCTCAATACCTGATATCACGCTGTATTACAAAGCCACTGTTCTCAAAACTGCCTGGCACGGGCACAAAAACAGACATATAGATCAATGGAATAGAATAGAGAATCCAGAAATCGACCCGAACCAATATGCTCAATTAATATTTGACAAAGTAGACAAGAATATACAATGGAGTCAAGACAGTCTCTTCAATAAATGGTGTTGGGAAAATTGGACAGATACATGCAAAAAAAAAAAAAAATGAAATTAGACCACCAACTTACACCATACACAAAAATAAACTCAAAATGGATAAAGGACTTAAATGTAAGACGGGAGACCATAAAAATAGTAGAGGAATCCAAAGGCAACAAAATCTCAGACATATGCCGAAGCAATTTCTTCACCAATACAGCTCCTAGGGCATTGGAAACTAAAAAGAAAATAAACAAATGGGACTACATCAAAATAAAAAGCTTCTGCACAGCAAAAGAAACCATCAACAAAACAACAAGAAAGCCCACTGCATGGGAGAACATATTCACCAATGTTATCACCGATGAGGGTTTAATCTCCAACATTTACAGGGAACTCATGCAATTTAACAAAAGGAAGATAGCCGAAACCGGTTTGGCTCAGTGGATAGAGCGTCAGCCTGCGGACTGAAAGGTCCCAGGTTCGATTCCGGTCAAGGGCATGTACCTGGGTTGCAGGCACATCCCCAGTAGGAGATGTGCAGGAGGCAGCTGATCGATGTTTCTCTCTCATCGATGTTTCTAGCTCTCTATCTCTCTCCCTTCCTCTCTGTAAAAAATCAATAAAATATATTTTAAAAAAAAAAAAAAAAAAGGAAGATAAACAATCCAATTAAAAAAATGGGCAAAGGACCTAAATAGACACTTTTCAAAAGAGGACATTCAGAAAGCCAAGAGACATATGAAAACATGCTCAAAGTCACTAATCATCCGAGAGATGCAAATCAAAACAACAATGCAGTATCATCTCACACCTGTCAGAATGACTATCATCAACAAATCAACAAATGACAAGTGCTGGAGAGGATGTGGAGAAAAGCGAACAGTCGTGCACTGCTGGTGGGAATGCAGACTGGTGCAGCCACTGTGGAGAACAGTATGGAGTTTCCCGAAAAAACTAAAAATGGAACTCCCATTTGACCCTGTGATCCCACTTCTAGGAATATATCCCAAGAAACCAGAAACACCAATCAGAAAGGATATATGCATCCCTATGTTCATAGCAGCATAATTTACCATAGCAAAGATCTGGAAACAGCCTAAGTGCCCATTAGCAGATGAATGGGTTAGAAAACTGTGGTACATTTACACAATGGAATACTATGCTGCTGTAAAAAAGAAGGAATTCTTACCATTTGCAACAGCATGGATGGAACTAAAGAGCATTATGCTAAGGGAAATAAGCCAGTCAATGAAAGAAAAATACCACATGATCTCACTCATTTATGGATAATAAATACCACTATAAACTGATGAACAAAAATAGATACAGAGGGAGACCAGCATTGAACAGACTGTCAAACTACAGCAGTAAGGCTGGGGAGGGTTGGGGGGCGGGAGCGGGGGTAAGAGATCAACCAAAGGACTTGTATGCATGCATATAAGCATAACCAATGGACATAAGACACTGAGGGGTAGGGGAGGCCAGGGGAAAGTCAAAGGGGAGGAAAAAAGGAGACCTATGTAATACTCTTTGTAATACTTTAAGCAATAAAACAATTTTTTAAAAAAGAAAAGAAATCCAAAAAATAAAAAATAAAATTTAAAATGTAATGTCTCACTCACATTGCATTTTAACTGCTCAGTAGGCACAGTTAACTAGTGGCTACTGCCTTGGACAATGTAGATATAGACCATTTTCATCATTATAGAATAGTCTATTGGATAGCACTACTCTAGATGATAAATTATTCTTCAAGGGCAGGAATTATACCTTGCTCAACACTCTATTCCTTGATTCCCAAAATAGTGCCTGGCACATATTAATGGCTCAGTAAATGTTTGAGGAATTCAATTTTTTTAAATGATAGATGTTAGGTTAGGTGGCTCAGGAAGCGGCATAGAGAACAAAGAGAACCAAATGGTTAAAGAGGAGAAAAGGAAAAGGTTTTAATCTGCGTCCCCGGGCGACCCACAAACCCCAAAGACAGGGCCCGTGGATTCGCACCCACAGGGAGGGGGCACTTTGTTTTATACTGCGGTTGGGTGAGGGGCGGGGGCATGAACTGAGGAAGTCCCCGCCACAGGGGGTCAGCAGGGTATTCAGGAAGGAGTCAGTATCTGTGTGGGGGTCATGTGGATTCCAGGAAGGGGCCGGTATCTGTGTCTGGCACGCCAATCTGTTAGAAATTCCAGGGAGGGTCCATTATCTCATCACACGTCTGCATGTATCCAATCCTGGGCTCTCTCCGACCTAACATCCTGGCCTTTTGGTGATAGGGGATGCCTACTCGTTCTGACTGCTTCCAGCTGACCAGGGGCAACGAAGGGGAGGTTTTTAAAGGCCATGGTCAGGCAGAGGCAGATCAGAGGGCAGCCGAGTATAGGGATGGAGCAGGAGCTGATTCACAGTCACTCGTGACATCTCCGTGATCCAAGATCGGATGAACTTGAGGAGGCAGGGGGCTAAGAGAAAAAAGACACAGATGAGAATCAGGGGCCCTATCATGGGTAGGACCCAGGTAGCTAAGGGGCTTTGGAACCAGTCAAAAGGAGAGTTGTCCTCGAAGTGTCTTGCATGTAGTTCTTCACTCAGCTTAGTCAGGGTCTATACGTTTTGCTACACTACTCCGGACTCGTTGATGTAGTAGCAGCATTCTTCCTGAAGGAATATACAGGTTCCTCCTTTTTCTGCAGTCAGAAGGTCTGAGGCGTGCTGGTTCTGAAGGGCTACTTGGGCTGTTGATGTCGCTTGCCACTGTAGGGAGGCTAAAAGAGGCAGTAGTAGTCTCCAGGGCTAACTGGAGCTTGTCATTAAAGTCCTAAGCAGTGACCAGGCTGTTCCCGAGGGCCCCCCCGGTGAGGCCTACTGAGGCAGCGATACTCACCCCTAACATGACAGGGAGGAAGGCGGCCCAGCAGGTCCGGGGTGGGATGGAGGGAGCAGCCAAGTGAGTTCCGACTCTCCATATAAGGTTAGTTGGGGAACTATTGTGACCACAAAGCAAGGCCTGGGGTCAGAGGAGTTCATGCAGTTGAAGATACCCGGGCTGGCCTTGGTGAGACTGGCTGCGGTGTGGTTTTGGGTGCAGTTCCAAGTGACTTGAGGCAGGGGGTCCCGCGGGGGTGAGGCCGACGGAGTCCTAACGAAGCATGCCAGACTCCGGAGACAGGTTCAAGACGCAGTCTGACTTTATTGTTTAAGTACAGGGACATATATAACATTCCAGACCAATCAGAAGTTTACACCATCCTTAGGGCAACCAATGGTAGGAAAGATAGGGTACTATGTAGGGGCTCTAGGGGGCTTACTCAGGCGGGCACTGCCACTTCCCGGTGTGCCGAGTAAGCTTGTATAGGCGGAGTGCGCTCACGCCATTGCATCTGCCACTGCACTGAGATAAATCTCCTGAGCTCTTCCCACATCTCCCCCTTCTTTTCTTATTAGCGCCTGCTGGACGTGTATGATCATGGCTTGCTGGGCACTTAGCTTATTGAACATGTTGTATAAACAGCGAAATAATACTATTCCTACAAAGAATCCTACTATCATGACTTCCCAAATGAGGAGGTTGGCTGGGTTTAACCAGGAGGTTAGACGGTTGAGGGCATCACTTAAGAAACTAAACTCAACGGGTTTTACTCGGGTATTATTGCATGAGGTGCTAGGTATATCCACCCTTGTCCCGGGGCAGTCCCATTATCTAGAGTCCACTTAAGGAGGTTAGGGCTACTGCTATCAGCCCATACTGTCCCGTTCTATGGCAATGAGACCGGTTCCGCTCCGTCACAGGATAAGCTCACAGAGGAGTCAGACTCTTGGACAGCAGGGAATTGTAGGCTGTCAGCGCTGACAGGCATGAGCAGCCCTGGATGAGGTATGGCCGCCCATACATGTTGTGCTCGCGCCTGAGAGTTCGCTGTTATGATGGCACACATTAATAGGAATAATGTCCCTTCTGACGGATTGCCTTCTGGTGCCATGCATGCAGCTTGGTCTTGTAGATTCTTGATGTTTACCCAGGTAATGTTGTGGGCTCATCAATGTCTTGGTCGTCTCCGCCGCTGCAGCTGGTTGTCCTCTATGGTCAGGTCCTCCATTTCCTCTACCGGAGGTGATGGTGATGGTGCTCTATGGCTCATCGCTGGTGGTGCAGGGTTTGATGTTGCGGGCAGGAATCCACGTGGGATTTTTCTCACCTTCTGGAAAAACACAAGCAAACCCTCTCCCTTGGGTTAAGAGTGGGTCGGGGCCCTTCTAAGTCCCGGTTAGTGGATCTCTCCACCGGGCCAAGGGGAGAGGTGTTGGTACGTCTCTGAGACCTCCCCAATGTTTGAAAATGGGAGGAAGACCGTCGGGGGCAAAATGAAAATAATTGAGAGTTAATAAAGCCTGTTGTAACAGTTGTTGGGGCGTGCCTGTATTTCCCCCCTTCTTTTTCTTTTTGCATCTGCCACTGCACTGAGATAAATCTCCTGAGCTCTTCCCACAGTGACTCATCCCCCAGTTACCGGATTACTGGTCTGGTAACATATCCGTGGGAGCAGGGTGGGCTCTGGAGTTTCGGGAGGCATCACGGACCTTGAACCTCCACACATAAGCGGGTGGGGTGGGGATGGGTGTAGGTTGCTCAGGGCTGGGAGGAGAAGGAGGAGGGGGAGAGCGACCAAGGTGGACCTTAGTGGGGCCCAACACCTCACGTTTATAGAAGTCATGCTGTTCCAGGGTCCTCTTGAGTCTGGAGAGGTGGTGCCACGATGGGTTGCCAAGCTGGGGTTGCCAAGCAGCTTGGCCACGGTGGGGGCTGTGAGGATTACAGTGTGAGGTCCCGTCTACCTAGGCTCCAAGGCTTGTGGATGTAGGTTCTTAAGGAAGACCGAGTCCCCAGGGTGAAGGGCTGGTCCTCGGGAGTCCTGGTCGGTCGGCTCTGGCTTGGGCAGAAACCTGTTCTCGTGTTCTCGGAGCAATTGCCTAGGTAAGATATGGAAGATAAGTACCCAGGGGAGGAGGATCAGTAAGGAGACGGTGGTTGAGCAAGAAGGGTCTCCCATATAGGAGTTCAAAAAGGGCTTAAGAAGGTGGGGCTCCTTGGTGTAGCCCGGATTCAGCCAGGAGCTGCGAATTTCTAGAGAGAGAGTTCAGTTAGATGGTCCAATAGGTTGGAATTGAGTGGCTATGATGAGGGTTCGAGCCATTGACAGACACATCCAGCAGGATATAGAGGAGGAGGGATTGATGTTAGAGAGTAGATGGAATGTTGTGTTGATGAGGGTGGGCATAGGAGTAGGTCCAGGGAGTAGATAGAGAGTGACACTAGAGGATTTCCCATCCCAGATAGCAGAATTGATGACTCCCTCATCATTCCATGTCCGTTTCACCTGAAAATATTAAAAACCTGAGCTTCTTCCGTAGTAAAAATTGGAGGGTCCCTTGCCAGGTAAGAGCCTGTGAGGAATGATGGGTCATCAGGTCCTGGATGGTGTCGCCGAATCTTCTTCGGGGATGGTGGGAGGCATTTGGTGAGCCTGAGAGAGGTAGGTATTGCAGTGAAAGTGGGAGGAAATGTTAGAATGAGCTGTTATCCAAGGGAAAAGAGAAAGGGAAGGAGCAGTGGAAGCCAGGGACCTACATATAAGGCTGGAGAAAAGGCAGGCGGCGAGAGGGAGCAGGTCGCGCAGCCTGTTCCCAGGCCTCTAGCTGCTTGGATGTTAAAACTGCCGCATTTTTCCTAGAGATAATGATCTCAGTTTCTGATAAAAGCTGGACTGTTGAATAAACCTGTGCATTCAAGGAAGTTTCCTTTGGGAAGGGTGGAGGGGGATGGGACGGGAAGGCGCCGAGGCCAGAGCAATTTTCAGAGCACTAAAGGGGTGAGGATGTTGGCCTTGGGATCTATGGGCTTAGTGAGGAGGTCCCTTCGCCATGTCATGTCATAGAGAAGGTTTGCAAGAAGACTACAGTTGTGAACCCGTAGGCAAGAGTACCCAGTGAGCCTGAAGAAGGAGAACATTTCTTGTTCAGAGGAGGGGACAGTCGTGGAGCAGATAAGGCGATAAGGCGTTCACAGCGAGACTGAGGTAGGCGACTGTGGTCTGGGACAACAGGGCCCCATAAGAGGGCGCATGGCAGTGGAGGATTGGCGTCCCTGTGAAGGGAGGGGGCCAGGAGTGGAATGAGCAGGGAGGCTGAAGGGCTCCCAATGGGCTGCAAAGTGGCCGCTAATTTGGTGAGAATATCCTGTCCTAAAAGGGGCACTGGGCATGAAAACATGACTAAGAACGAGTGGGTTATAGGGCTATTTATTATCAAGGAGGCAGGGAAGAGGTCCGGTGGTCAGCGGGCAGGTGGATTTGCCGTCAATACCCATGACTGAGATTGTGGAAGGAAAAAAGGGGCCCTGACAAGGAGGGCAGGACAGAGAAGGTAGCCCCCGTGTCGATCAGGAAGGTGACCCACAACCTTCAGTGCAGCCCTGGGCTCGGCAAGGGTGGTGGGGGCCGTCAAGGCTGGGCTTCTTCAGTCTTCAGCGAGTCCCAGCAGGGCCAAACACTCACCCTGAATTCCCCTGCAGGAAGCAGTCTGGAGCAGAATGCATGTTGAGCCGACTGCACGCACGGACACTTGCCTGTTGCCCTCTAACTTGTATCATTCATTCAAAACACGCTAATTTATATTGTTCAAAACACGCCAGCCTTCTGTTCAAAGGTCAAATTGTCTCCACAGAAACAGCAAGCAGCACTTTCGCTTTAAGGTCCCAGTAGGTGGTGGGTCTGGGCAGAGGCTGTGTAGAAGTTTCCTATTTGATCACACAGCTCTGGTTTTCAGTCCTTGGCTCCACCTCTCAACTCCCAGCTCTAGTCTCCTTTGCTTCAGTTCCTTCTGGATCTTCTCCTCTAAGTCTGTGGCCTCTTAGGCAGCTGCCTTTTTGGTGGCTTTTACAAAGATGAAACCCAAATACCCATCTTCAGAGCAGTGTGGGTTTTAGACTCCCTGGCAATATTGCAGTGAGGGTTGGGGGGTTGGGAGAGATACTTTGTAAAGTATGTGATTAAAGTATATGATAACCACTATGCAGTACACCTGAAACTAGTACAAAATATTAACTGCAAAATGTAATTAAAAAATAAAATTTAAAGCCTTTTAAAATATATATATAGCCCTGGTGGGGTGTCTTAGCTGGTTGGTGACATCCAGTGCAATATCAATGTTGCACTCTCACATCGGAGTTTTTCTCTCCGTCTCTCCCTTCCTTTTTCTCTCTCACTCTTAAAAAAAAAAATCAATAAAAGCTTTAAAAAACAATTTTTTTTTTAAAGAAAAGACTCTCTAGATGAGTATGCCAAAGATTCCTGAACCTTGCACCCAGGCATTCTGACTTAATAGGTCTGAGGTAAGGTTCCGATATCTGTACTTTGAACGGATGCTATTCCATATCCATTTGCAAACCACTCTTCCAAGTAACAACAGAAGCCCTCCTGGTGCAGAAATGCCTCCCCTAGAACCTCTGAAATCTGCCCCATTGTGAACTCACTCCATAACCATTGTCATAATGTACAAATGACCCAAACTACAGATTGTAGTCTGTTCTTCCAGGTTCTGAATTTCTCGAGGGAGAGAACCTTGTCTTTTAATTTTGGCTTATTTTGCAGCCAGTGAGGTGTAGTTGGGAGACCACTGGCCTCTGGAATCAGAGAGTCCAAGATTGAAACCCTCTGATCCTCGACCATCTATCAAGGAGACTCACCTCGGGCAAATTACTTCACTTTCCTTTTTCAGTTCTCTAGTGGATAAAATGGGAGTGATGTGATCAAATGTATTAAAGGTGAAAAACAAGCCTTGAGGAAAAGGGGCTGAACTTTGGAAGTCACGGGAAGACTGGAATGTCTGGAAAAGCAGGGTACTTGGCACAGCGCTCCCACACTGGATGAGGGGAACCGGGGCAGGATAGCAAGGCTCCCAGCTACTGACTAAGTCCCAGGACCATAGCCAAGGATGGGAGGAGAGGGAGGGATGGGGGGTATAGAGGCGTGCAGCAGATATAGTGCTGTTCTTCTAAAACTTTAAGAGAAGCACAGAAAAGGGTAGGCAAGTCATGATGCTTTGGTACCGAGGTGATATAGCGAGGGGCAGGTTAAACTGGCACCGAGCCAGGCCTTTTCCACTCTTCTGCCCAGGACAGAAGACCTCAGGAAACCTGGCCCTCCATGAACCCTTAGGGATGTAGCAAATGAGGACTGAGGGCAATTCTGGGAGCAATGGGCAGTAAAGTGCCAACCATGTACAAAGGGGACATTAGCAATTGTCAATAGGTAGGTGGGAACCATGCAGAAAAGACTCTGAGGTCTTTTGAGGAAGAAAGAATTGAACCTCCACCCTGCCTTCAAACTACAACTCTTTCCTGGGTCTCCAGCCTGTTGGCCTGCTCAGATGTTGAAACCTGTAATCACATGAGCCAAATTCCTAAGTCTCTGTCTCTCTCTATCTCTGGCCAGACCTGAAAAGTGTAGATTCCTCAGATACATATTTTAATTTCTAGAATAAACACACAAACACACACAAATGTTTGATTAACCCAAAAGGAGACAGGTGATCTGAGTATTTTGGCTGTGTAGCAAACCACCACAAACATAGAGATGTGCAACAGTAATTTATTTTGCTCATATATTCTGTGGGTCAGGAATTAGGACTGGACTCAATGGGATCTGCTTGTCCCTATACCATGATGTCTGGTATCTGAACTGGAAGATCAAAGGCAGGGGGATAAAATCAGCAGAAGGCTTATTTTTTCATGTCTGGGAGTTGATGCTGGCTCATACCTGGGGGAGTCATTTCTCCTATATTGGGGTCTCAAAGTGGACTTATGGCATTGGCTAGTTTGGGCTTCCTCACAGCTTGATCTGTGTTCCAAGGGCAAACCTCCTGAGAAAACACCAAGTACAGACTATATCCTTTTTTATAATAGACTAGAGGTCCGGTGCACAAAAATTTGTGCACTGCGGCGGGGGGGGGGGGGGGTCCCTAAGCCCTGCCTGTGCCCTCTCGCAGTCTGGGACCCCTCAGGGGATGACTACCTGCTGGCTTAGGCCCGCTTCTTGGGGGATTGAACCTAAGCTGGCAGACAGACATCCCTCTGGCAGCCCGGGAGCCCTCGGGGGATGCCCATTTGCCAGTGGGGAGCAGGCCTAAGCTGCAGTCGGACATCCTTAGCGCTGCTGAAGAGGCGGGAGAGGCTCCAACCACCACCGCTGTACTGGCAGCCATCAGCCTGGCTTGTGGCTGAGCAGAGCTCCCCATGTAGGAGCGCACTGACCACCAGGGGGCAGCTCCTGCATTGAGTGTCTGCCCCTGGTGGTCAGTGTGTGTCATAGTGACCAGTCATTCCCAGTCTTTCTGCTGTTAGGGTTAATTTGCATATTACCCTTTTATTATATAGGATAGAGGCCTGATGCATGGGTGGGGGCCAGCTGGTTTGCCCTGAAAGGTGTCCGGGATCAAGGTGGGGTCCCACTGTGGTGCCTGGCCAGCCTGGGTGAGGGGCTGATGGCTGTTTGCAGGCTGGCCAAGCCCCCCAGCGGGGACCCTCACCCCATGAGGGTGTGACCAGCTTGGGTGAGGGGCTGATGGCTTTTTTCAGGCTGGCCACAGCCCATTCAGGGTGGGGGTCCCCGCTGGGGTGCCTGGCCAGCCTGGGTGAGGGGCTGATGGCTGCTTGCAGGTTGGCCACAGCCCCTTCAGGGTGGGGGTCCCCACTGGGGTGCCTGGCCAGCCTGGGTGAGGGGCTGAGGGCCGTTTTCAGGCTGGCCACACCCCCTTCAGGGTGGAGGGTCCTGCTGGGGTGCCTGGCCAGTCTTTGTGAGGGGCTGATAGCTGTTTGCAGGCTGGTCACAGCCCCTTCAGGGTGGGGGTCTTCCCTGGGGTGCCTGGCCAGCCTGGGTGAGGGGCTGATGGCTGTTTGCAGGCTGGCCAAGCCCCCCAGTGGGGACCCTTACCCCATGAGGGTGTGGCCATCCTGGGTGAGGGGCTGATGGCTGTTTGCAGGCTGGCCAAGGCCCCCAACCACCCAAGCTCCCAGTGGAGGCTGGCTAGAAGCAGGTATCTGGGATTTATTTGTCTTCTATAATTGAAACTTTGTTGCCTTGAGCAGAGGCCACAGCCAGCCAGGGCAGGTGGGAAGCTTGGCTTCCTCCATTGCTGGGGCAACCAAGCCTCCTGCTTGCTCCAGCTCCGTGGCTGCCGGCCGCCATCTTGGTTGGGTTAATTTGCATATGGTCACTCTGATTGGCTGGTGGGCATGGCTTGGGGTGTAGCAGAGGTGCAGTCAATTTGCATGTTTCTCTTTTATTAGATTAGATTTGGAGGTCATATTGCACAAATCTCTGGCACATTGTATTGCTTATAGCAGTTACAAGTCCCCATCAAAGTTCAAATAGAGAGAACATAGCCCACAGACAAGGCTGTCTGGGTCACAGGCCACTCCAGTGTGAGATGCCCCTCTGGTCGGGAGGATGGGGAGGCCCGAGGTCCATGGACCCCCTTGGCTGCCTTAAAGGAGGGCTGGCAGCCCGCAGCTTGCTGCCCTCCCCACAGGGTGGAGGGCATCCTGTGAGCAGAAGGTGTTCGTGGGCTGTCGGTGTTAGGCCTTTAACCCACTTCCAGTGATGGGGAAGCCCCACCCTTCTGCGTGCGGAGCCAGGTAGCCCGGCCAGTATGGCTCACTGGTCAGGTGATGCCAGGGTCCAACCCCAGCAGGTCCAGGGGTCCCCAAAGGTGTGGATGGAGTCGGCAAAGAAGGAATGACACAGAGACAGCATCCAGTTGATCAGCAGCCTAGCCAGGATCTCTAGCCAGGTTCTGGTCAGGATCTCCAGTGAAGTTCTGGTTCGGATCTCCAGCCAGGTTCTGTGTCCATGTTCTCTTGCTAGGTTCTCCAGCCAGGTTCTCCAGGTTCTCCAGCCAGGTTCAGTCCAGGTTCTCCAGCCAGGTTCAGTAGCCATGTTCCCTCGCTAGGTTCTCCAGCCAGGTTCTGTCCAGGTTCTCCAGCCAGGTTCAGTTACCAGGTTCTAGTCAGGTTCTCTTGCCAATTTCTGTAGTCAGGTTCAGTCCAGGATCTTTTGCCATGTTCTCTCCAGCGAAGTTCTTCTGTCTGTAGGTTCTGTGTTCTAAGCTCTGTATTCTAAGTTCTGTCTCTTGCTGTCTTCTTACATCTGTATTTATACCAGTTGATTCAATCCTATCAATCTCTATTACAAAGGTTAGGGCGTTTCTTATCTTCATTCCAGGGAGTAAAGATTATGTAGCTTAAGCACAATTGTTCGTAGTTAAAGTGATTAATTACCCGCCTGGCACTTAGTTAAGAGGTTTTATTCCCTCCCTAACTTCAGGGGAAAATCCCTACCTGGGGAAACAACCTTTCTCAGAGACCTTGGTTAAAACACATAGTGCCAAGAAGGTGAGCAAACATATTAAGAACAGTATGCCATATATGCCAGGACCCTTGAAACAGCAAGCATGGACCGGCTCCCAGCAAGGTGACCCGGAGGGCGTAGTGTCTGGAAAGGTAGAGGGAGTGCCTGTGGGACCAACCTGAAGTGGTTAGGACGTGAACCAGGGCCTCGGGATCACCCGGAAGTGGTCAGGTCAGCCAGGGTTTGTTGGGTCCGGATGACCAGCTGGAAGTGGTTACATCATCCAAAGGGAGGGGCCAGGTGGACAGACGGAAGTGGTGATGTGACCCCTGGGTGGGCTAGGCCCAGGTGAACACACAGAGGTGGTCAGGTCAGCAAGGGGGTGGGGCCCAGGGACCAGATGGAGTGGGGACGTCGTTGAGGGGTAGGGTCCAGGTCAACCACCAGAAGTGATGACGTGACTGCGGGGGTGGGCTGGGCCTGGGCCCAGGTGAAGGCCTGGAAGTGGTCATGTCAGCAAAGGGGCAGGTCCCGGGGACCAGCGGGTCTGGCGACGTCATCGAGGGGGAGGGGCCAGGTAGAGAGCCGGAAGTGGTGACCTGACCCCCTGGGTGGGCTGGGCCCAGGTGGACACCTAGAAGTGGTCAGGTGAGCCAGGGCTTGGGGCCCGCTCAACAGCTGGAGGTGGTCAGGTGGACAGGCTGGTGGGGCCAGGTGAGTGCAGAGGAGGTCATAAGAGGACACAAAATACCAACTGTCCTGTGGTCCCAGACTCTGGATGGCACCAAGGAGGTCCCTGTCCTCAAGGAAGGGCGTTCCCCGTGAATGAGGCAGAAAGCTGGCCCTCAGGACCTGGCCATCAGTAAGTGACTCTGGAGGGGCCAGGACACGGCTCCCAGAATGGAAAGGGTGTTACATAGTGGCGCTCGTGGTTCTTAGGCCTTCAGACTAGACTTATATCAGCTTTCCTCAGTTCCAGCTTGCCAATTGCAGCTCTTGGGACTCCTCAGATTCTACAGTTTCATGAACCAATTCCTTGTAATAAATGTATTTCTCTGTATACATTCTATTGCTGTTGTTTCTTTGGAGAGTCTCAACTAATACACATTTGGGTACTGACTGGTTGGTAAACTAACAAATGTAAGATCACCTAGTTGATCTTAATGTCACTGGACAAAGTGAAGAAGAAAAGGATGAACTCGGGGATTTTAATTCCAAGCTTATGTGCCCATAAATGATCTGAAAGCCTCTATGTGTGCTCTGAAGAATATCCTTATCTCCTCTAGCCACAGGGCTGAGATTGCTAAAAATCAAACCCAGAATCTTATCTTGTGACTGGCTGAATTACAGTGCAAGTTGAACTCCCAGCCTCACCAGGTGCTCACTGTTGAAGTGAGAGCATTGAATGGGGAAGGTACACCATAAAGTTAATGTGAGAATTAAATCAGGTAACTAACTGTGAAAAGCCTTTAGCAGAGTTTTTAGTATACAGTAAACACTCAATAAGCATTTTTGTGTCTGCGTTTCTGTAAAATAGGTGGCTTATTGTCAGCTCATCTCCACTCAGAAGGTGACTCTACTCACCATAGATTTCACTTCTCACTATCCCATCATCACAAAGAAAATGTAACACAGTCACCGCTCACTACAATACATAATGCTCAGGTTATGCATATTATGTGAGCTTACAAAATTTTAAAAGTCTAATAAATAAATTCAAAATGGTTACTGATTTTTAATTCCTCTCACTCAATTTTCATTTTAAAATTTTGGCTGTGCAATTTATCCTACTATACCGCCTCAGTCCAGATCAAGGGAGAGTGTCCACGATAGTCTTCAGTACAAATAAGAGACAAGCCCACAGTCCGTAGCTTAAACAAATAAGGAAATTTATTGAATCCAATAACAAAAAATCCAAAGGTTAAACAGCTATGAAAACAACATAATTAGAGCCCTAGTTCCACTCTCTGCAACTCATTTGGCTCAGACCTTGTGTATTGGTTTTGTCCTCGGTCTGGCTGCTCTCATGGCCCCAATATATCCTCAGTCTTAAGACAAAACAACATCCAAAGGGAAAATCTCCCATATCTTTGTTTTCTAAGACAAGGAAAACTTCACCCCAAATTCCCAAATGTCTCTTTCAATCTCCATTATCTTCAGATGTCTCTGACATCTCATTGCCCAGATGATGTCACATGTCCAAGCCTACACTAATCACTGGATGAAGAGAAAAGACCAATATGATTGGTCCACACCAATTAACACTCACCTGTGGGGCTGGAGTTAAGTCTAGAATTCTCCAAGCACAGGGACCCAATTAGATACTACTAGAAAGGAGGAAGGTTAGGCTACCAAGAATATATGCAGCACAGATTTCAAAATCAAGAAAACTTTCTACCAGAAGCAACAGAAGTCTGTGAAGAGCACATATGAAGAATGAGAAAAAAATACCCAGTCATGCTTAAAACATGACAATAAAACAATAGAGTGGCAAGCCTCAGAGATAAAGAAATCCAGAGACTGTTTAGGGCTGACAGGCCTAGAATTATTTGTGTATTAAGAGGCACATAAACTGTTGTCTTTTGTCTAACCACCATAGAAAGGGAATCTGATAGGGCAAAAATCACTGGGACTCACATATGTACTTAAATAGGAAAATAACAAGTCTTCCACATATTAATTTAAACCAAAGGGACTTCTGCAGGCAGGCAAAGGATACATGGAAGGAGGGAATAGCTTGGAGAATCAAAATGTCTGGACAAGACAGTTCAGGAGTAATCTTTGTCCATAGGTTACAGAAAACACTTGAAATGTGGTTTCACCAGAAGAACACTCCCCCCAGCTTTCATTTGTTATGAAGATTATGAAGGAAAAGCAGGTGGGGCAAACCATGCTGTTGGGCAATTCAATAGCCCTTGTTAGTAATGGATCTCATTTTTGTTCACTGTCCACCAAATGGACATGTTCTTCAATGGATGCTTGGCTCATCTCCATACCCATGGGTAGTAAGTCTTGATTGTCTAAGATGTTATGGTGGTCTCATTTCCCATGCCTGTGATTGTTTTAGGCATGAACATGGGATAATTTTTGGCCCATAGACTATCAAGCAAAATAAAACAGAAATAATAGACCCAATCCTGGCCACATTTTGATGGGCTCTCAGAACACTAAGAACAAACAGAAAATTGTAAAAAGCTTTCAAAGAAAGAAGGAAAAAACCCACAAAGGAGTAATAATCAGACTTCTCATTGGGGATGCATTTATTTTAAAGAAACAGAAATTGATGAACCAGATTTGACTGATAACCAAACCAAAAGCTATTCTTAGAAAAGATCACTAAAATAGACAAGTATTTGGTGAGTCAAACTAAGAGGAAAAGGAGATAGCATGTAAATAAACAACAAAGGCACTTGATTAAATTCAATCCCATTCCTGATTGAAATTGTAATAAGAAATATATTTGGGGAATAAAAAGAAGCATCCTATTCTAAAAAAAAAAAATTAAAGTATCAACTGGAAATCTATAGCAAGCATTACACTTGCCAAAATAAAAAGACCAGAGCACTGAGGGAAAATAATTGTTAACATCAAATTCTATATGAAGAATTCAGATGACAGTCTGATCCCTCCATTGCAAATTTTTCATGCAACGAAGTTGTGAAGAACCAGGTCAGTTGGTAATCAACTTGTAAAGAGACCACGTTGCCCTAACCGGTTTGGCTCAGTGGATAGAGGGTCGGCCTGCGATCTGAAAGGTCCCAGGTTCAATTCCAGTCAAGGGCATGTACCTTGGTTGCGGGCACATCCCCAGTTGGGTGTGTGCAGAAGGCAGGTGATCGATGTTTCTCTCTCATCGATGTTTCTAACTCTCTATCCCTCTCACTTCCTCTCTGTAAAAAATCAATAAAATATATTTAAAAAAAAATAAAGAGACCACGTCATGGAATGACCCACAATCTGGATTTGTTTGACTGTCTTTTTGTAAGTGCCATTTAATTTGTTCTCTAGCCACCACATTAATAAGACACTTGATCTAAAGGCTTGTTTAAGTTCAAATTCAACAGTGTTGTTAGAGGTAGTTCTGGGCACTCTAACTTACATCTCATCATGAAGCACATGACATCAAATTGACCATTTTAGCGATGCTAACTTTGATAGGAGAGTGCAGGTGGTGGCAATACCCGGACCCAAGACATCCCTAACAGGGGTACAAAAGATTCAGTTTGCATTGAAATAGCAACATTTCCTGGTGCATATACACTAATATTTAATTTACAAAAATTCAAAGTACATACAAATTTGTCATAAATACTTCAGAAGCACCTATGCCCTAGTCTAGCCGTGGGCAAACTAAGGCCCGTTTGAAATGAATAAAACTAAAAAAAAAAAAAAAGACCGTACCCTTTTATGTAATGATGTTTACTTTGAATTTATATTAGTTCACACAAACACTCCATCCATGCTTTTGTTCCGGCCCTCCGGTCCAGTTTAAGAACCCATTGTGGCCCTCGAGTCAAAAAGTTTGCCCACCCCTGCCCCAGTCCTTTGATTTCGTCCCATTTTCTTGCAGTTCATTCAAGATGATTGTGAATATAGAGAAATCAGAAGGGCCCCTCTCCTCACCACATCCCTGCCTTATCCTCCTCCATCTCAGCCTCAGCGCTTGCTCAGAGCTGGCTTCTGGTTTGAGTGAGGTGTTGCCTGAAGAATTTCTGGATCTCTCCCCAGGCGTGCTCCTGGGCTGCAGCATGCGCAGCGGGGTCCCCTCCCCAGAGCAGGGGTTGAGAAAAGGGGAAATTATAGGAACCGGCAATGGGGTTATTAAGGGGAGCAGAAACGGGGTAAACACGGGATGCATAGCACAGGGGTGCATAGGGCGGCTCTAGAAGGTGGCCTGCCCCTGGGTAGAGCAGCATCCTTCCATTGCTTCTCCCATGGCTCTTCAGCTGCTCCAGGGCCTGCTTAGCATATTCTTTGCTATTGACCGATTGGTCATCCTCTCCTATAATGAAGAGGATCTGACCCTGGGCCTTTTCAATAGGAAACACGCTCCGCTGATTCAGCTTCTCCCTGGGGTCCCCCCTGTAGCGGAGGAGGCTCACAGCCCCTGAGACGTGCACCTGCATACGCTCCAGAAACGAGGGAATGGGTGACATAACCAGACCCCTGTACCTGAACGGAAAGTCATAGAGGGCAGTAGGCCCATTGATGCAGACGGTGGCGACCACCTGCTTCAGGAAGCAGGCCATGGCCAGCCCAATCTCTGCACCTTTGCTCACGGAAAGCACTCCGATGCCTGGCCCTCGGATCTGAAACACAAAATGAAGGGAACCCATGGCAGGCCATCCACTGAGAAGCCGGGCCACAGGCCACTAGCTAGTATGACGGCCATTAGAACAAGTGAGGAGGGAGTCCTGGCACTCGGGGTCACCAGCTTTTGCAACTGTGAACACTACCCACCTCCCCTCTCTAAGCCTATTGTCTTGTGGGGATGATAGTATTACCTACCTTGCAGGATTCTTATTAAGGCTCAAGGGAAACAATAGAAATAAACACTTTATCAAACGCAGAGTTCTGTAAAAGCCCGAAGGATCTAATGCACCAGCAACAATCTACATCCTAAAAGCAGAAGCAGGTGAGCTTTCTGAAGAATCAAATTCTTCTCTCCAGCTAGGAAAAGAGGTTTCCTGGGTTCTTTCAAATAATATGTCAGTGTCGTTCCTATTTAAGTAGCATTTTACAGCTACAGAGGTTTTGACATCCATAAACCCAAAGGCTAATCCTAATGAGAAAAGACTTGAATTCTATCGACAGGTTAATTTCAGGACCCCGTCCAACAGGAAAAGCAGTAGGTCAGAGGAGTGGGTTCTTCCTTCTATTGTAGGCTGAGGGAGCAGAGGCGAGGAAAGGGTCTGAGAGACAAGGGAGGAAAGGACCAGCATTCTGGGTAGACTACAGCAAAGACATAGCCACCTGGTGAGTTATTTTGCTCACAATTGTATTCCCAACACCCTTCTGTCATCACAATCACCTGATAAAACATTGAAGAGCCCATTGTAAATAAAAATCAAGCACTTCTTAAAAAATATATATTTTATTGATATTTTTACGGAGAGGAAGAGAGAGGGATAGAGAGAAACAGCCATCAGCTGCCTCCTGCACACCTCCTACAGGGGATTTGCCCACAACCAAGGTACATGCCCTTGACTGGAATGGAACCTGAGACCTTTCAGTCCGCAGTCAAACGCTCTATCCACTGAGCCAAACTGGTTAGGGCAAAGTAAGCACTTAAAAGGCAAGAAGTCTTGGCTTCTGCCCATTGAAAATAATCATAATATATCCACCCTTTTTTTCTTGTCTTTTTCTTCACTGGGTACTTAGTAAGCACTAAGCTGATCTCCAATCAATCCCACAGTCCTCTAAAGTAGATATGAGCATCAATCCTACAAGGTAGATAATAGCATTCCCATTTTAACTGTAAACTGTTGTACTATGACCAGGTTTGAACAGACTGGTAAAATGATCAGAACAGACATCGGAGATTTTTTTAATTTGTCTTTTGCTATAAGGTAACTAGGTAAAATGAAAAAATTTTTAAATACCTTGGGATGAGCTAGTAGCAAGTTGGCAGCTTCCTCAAAATATTCCAGGTCCACCTCCTGCATGAGCTTGGGCAGGTCTTCATAGGCAAAGAATGCTAATGCCAGGACTGCAAAGCCATGGGCAGCCAGCAGGCTGGCTCGGAATTCAATTAGACCCCCTATGCCCCCAAACAAATCCAAGATTCCTGGGAAAGGGCCTTCCCCTGAGAACAGCAAAGAGAGGAGAGAATGAGATTAGAAAGAGGGAGAAGAGGGTCAAGCAGAGAGCACAGGCAGAGCAAAATGAATTCCACCTTCACACACAAACACACAAGGGCAAGTTCGTTTTAATAGATCGTGGGACATACTAGTCCTCCAATACGTTGATGCCCTTTGATTTTGTCTTTATGTCCATCAACACTGTTTTCTCCACCACCGAAGACCAGTCTCACCTGGAGGGAGAAAAAGAGCTCCCCGCACGCGGCCTTCTCGGATGGGCACCCGCTGCGTCCCGGGGCTGCTGAACCAGCGCTGCACCACCTGGCTGGCCCGGGGCTGAGCCGTGGCTGAATCCTGGGAGCAAACTGAGTCGTATAAGTCCAGAGTGACCAAAAAGGGGCTGTTCACATCCCTCTTAAGCAGCCTCCCAAAAGGCCTGTCAGGCTTCATAGACCAGAAGAGGCCCATGGGATGGACCCCCACATAGTCGCCTCCAACTGCAGGAGCCTGCTTCAGGTCCAGCTCACCAGCCTCGTCAGCCCTGTAGAAGGCTTTGGACCGGTACAGGTGTCCCTTCTCATCCTTCAGAGATGCCGCGAGGGTCACCAGCTGCAACGGAGGCAGGCCTGTCGCTCGGATGTGCACGGGCTCATCAGAAAGCGCACTGGCTGGGGTGGCCGTCAGCTGGAACATTGGAGACTTCCCTGCAGCGGAAGAGGAGGCTTTGCATTGGAGAAAATTCCAAGGGAAAGGCCCAGACCAGGCTTGTGTGAGGTCCAGCCAAGTTAGATTTCTGGAGACGCCACAAGGTCTGCTGAACATTTCGAGGAGGGCGAGGAAACTGCAGAGAGTGCCCATTATTCTCATTTAAATAGGAGGAAGCAGGTTAAGTGACACGTCAGAGTCTCATAAATAATTAATAGTAAAACTGGAAATTCAAGCTGGGTCTGGCACCACTGTCTCCTGTCTTATCCATTATATAACAGTGTGTTAAATCTTAGTTGTGTGGCTTTAAGACAGTTGAGCTTTAATTCCTCAGTGGAGATAATATCCATGGGACCAATTTCACAGGGTGTTTACTGGAACCCAAAGGTGCATGAGGAAGGGCTTAGAGGACGACCAGTGCTGATTTTCTGCCCCCAGCCTACCTGGGCTACAGGCACATAAACACAAAATATACTGTGGTGCGTTTACTTTCTGTCTCTAAGCTCTCCCTGCCCTTGTAAATCTGACCTCTCGCTCAATCACAGTTCCTATTATTGGTTCCTTTTAAGGGAAAATAAAACTTTATGATCTTGTCTCTATGTTTGTAGTAAAGAAACTATAATGTATATTTGATCAGCCATTTCTTACTCTGCTCAATTATGAGGAAAATTTGTGGTGTTCCTTTCTTACCTTCCTACCTTCCTTTTCTTCTTTCCTCCTTCCTTCCTTCCTTTCTTTCTTTCTTTCTTTCTTTCTTTCTTTCTTTCTTTCTTTCTTTCTCCCTTTCTCTCCTTCCTTCCTTTTTTCAAATCCACATTTCTCAAAGGATTTGAACCTATTTACAGACAAACAAATACAGAGTAAAATAAAAATAAAATAGGGACCTGGGAAAATATGAAGTAGAATCAGAGGCATCGATAAAAGAAAACCTGGAGCATGAAAAGTAGAGCATTTTGTGGGCTGTGAGTTTGGCACTGAAGTCGGGAAAACCGAAGGAGAAAAGGCAACCCAACCTGGTCAGCGTTGTTCTAAGTATTCTCGTAGAAACAGTTACCACTTCCTCAGGGGAAAAAAAAGAGTGAGGTCTTCCCAAAATTTAGCTCTGAAAAAAAAATTATTCTATGAGACTCTGACACAGGTATGCAGTGTGGGGGATTTTCCAGTAATATCTTCTCACACATTGTAGCAGTAGGTGTCCCCTCAAAAAGTTTGATTCTCCAAGGGATCCTTAATTTTTTATGGGGGAATATGAATTCAAGACTTTCAAGGCTAGATTTGTGAGTAGAAAAGCCTTGAGGAAATAAACTGAAAGAGACAGAAAAGGGGCTCTTGGTGTCCAGTCCTTCACTGTGGAAAGAGAGTCATTGGAGGAAGGCGATAGTCAAGAGGAAAGTGCCTTTCTGCACTTTTTTAAAAGTGATTTTCTTCAAAGACCTCATTCCCTCCCAACCTGATCTCCTATCAATAACCGGCATTACTGGTCATGGTGTGTAAACCTAAAGTCTTCGACCATTTGAGTTAATTGAATAATTGTAAATGTTTTTCCTCAATACCCGGAAGGTTCTTAACAGAAGATGGTGGCATCAGTTCAGACTTCATGGGTCTTTCATTCGTGTTAGTGAGATGGGACAATCATTTTAAAAATCCCATGTCCCATGTAGCATTTTGATGCTCTGTGGGTATTTTCTGATCTGATCCTTCCTGCAAGCCTCTGTATTTACTGTTTCCTTTGTCTCCCCCAAAAGAGATCATAAAGAAGGGACCAGTGATTTCCCCTATTTTACAAATCCATTCCCAGGTCTTCTTGTTCTTTTCTTTCTCAAAACTTCTATACAAAGTATTGACTCTAACAGATTTTATTTTCAAGTTGAATTAATTTGAATTGTTTCCGTACCCACTCTCCAGCAGGTATCCCGCCTCTGTTCTGATCCTCCCAAGTGGACTAAAAACTCCTCAAGGACAGGAACAATAGGCTAAAACTTTAAGGATCCTATTAATACTCATGCTTCATACCATATACATGCTTGGGAGCTATGAGATTCATAATAACACCAGAAATGTAATAAAAGTACTCTACTTAAATAGTGCTTTTGTAATAATATAAGATGTTGAGATTTCTTCCCCAAGACCTGATTCCTCTTTATCTGAGAATTGCTCCACAAAAGCCCAGAAAATAACTCTCAGTACCTATGTTTATACCACATGACCTCAACCCTGGGGTCATTGTGATTGGATCAGGTCCAGATATGTGATTCAAGACTTGCCAGGGGTGTTCTCCTCCCACCAATTTAGAATTGAAACTCAGAGATCACTGGTCACTCTATCAGGGTCAGGACAAAGGTGAGGCAAAAGGGCACCTAGGTAGCAAAATGTATTGGCATTGCCAAGCCCCCCAAATTCTGAAAGTTTGGATCCCAGGAGCCTCTTGCCTCATCCTAGTCCTGGTCCTGGACTCTTTGTATGTGGCTAACTTCCCAACATTCAGAAGCTATACCCAGGTAATCACAGAAAGCCTGTCTTGGGGTGGAGTGTGGGAGCTGAGGAGAGAGGGACAGAGACAGAAATGAGATTGTTTTTACCTTGAGAAACCCCTGTTCCAGGACAGCACAGCACTTTGCATCTCACTCCCCAGCCCTTCAGGGCAGAGCTGCAGGCTCTAGGACCATTTTGCTGCAGGCCAGAGCAGCTTCTCACCACAGGCTATGTCCCAGCTGTGTGGAAGTCATAGGTCTCCTTTTGTTTCAGAACTGCCCTTTGGGGTGTGAGACAAGGACCCTGAGAGCTGGCACCTTTAGCTATGCTTGTAAGTATCAAGTTGTCTGAATCTAAACAGGGCTTATTATTTCTTTATTAGCTACATCTCTCCGTTTTAGCCACATGCAGCTAATCAAATTTCAGTTCATTAAAAATAAAATTTAAAATGTAATGACTCACCCACACCGTATTTTAACTGCTCAGTAGGCACAGTTAACTAGTGGCTACTGCCTTGGACAATGTAGATATAGACCATTTTCATCATTATAGAATAGTCTATTGGATAGCACTACTCTAAATGATAAATTATTCCTCAAGGGCAGGAATTATACCTTGTTCAGCACTCTATTCCTTGATTTCCAAAATAGTGCCTGGCACATATTAATTGCTCAGTAAATGTTTGAGGAATTAAATTTTTTTAAATGATAGGTAAGAGAGCAAAAAAAAATAAAATTGAGTGAAACTTCTCAGAGAGGATGAAGAAGAACAGAAACCTAGTTGAATTTTGATACACTACTACTGAAGTTGGGGGACTCCTCAAAGTCCAATATAAAATTGCCAGGCTTCCCCACTTCTTTGCAGCACAAAGCAGAACCCTGCACACTGCAAAGTGTGAATGAAACCAAGGATAGGAAGCAACAACACAGAGGCCAAGAAACCACAACTGAGCCGCCTCCCGTGGGATTAGCCTTGTTGCTGGAGAGGGAGCCCTCAGCAATATGGATGCCACCTGATAGGGGCTGAGAGCTTAAGGCCACATTGTTGAGCTGGTTCCAGACCCCCACATTCCCAGGGGGAAATGGAGCAAGTCTATGCCCACCAGAAGAACTCAGAGGAAGGGCAGTTAAAAACTGGCCAAACACCAACACACAGGGTGGGCTGCGGGGGGGGCAGGACACAAAAAATAAGAGAGAGCCAAAGGTCACCCGTAGGAGGTAACATGCCTAATCAAGAAACAACAATTTCCTTTCCTTTAGGAGCCTAATGCTTTTCTTTCTTCATCAGGAGGACGTCCCCCCCCCCCCCCGCCCCCTTCCAAGCAAAAAATCTTAAAAACAATGTCTTGAGTCAAGAAACAACCTCTCTATAGATTCACATGAACTGGACCCTGAATTTTGCAGCCAAGTATTTCTGATCAATAACCCCCCTGAGGATGTGAATCCATGGGCCCTCTGAGAACTGTGCTACCTGCTGAGAGGAGAGAAACACACACAGCACAATGAAAGCTGCCTTCCCAGGGACCATTTCTGCCCCGCCCTGACAGCCCTGCTTCCCCAAACACTCACCCTGAATTCCCCTGCAGGAAGCAGTCTGGAGCAGAATGCGTGTTGAGCCGACTGCACGCAGGGACACTTGCCTGTTGCCCTTTAACTTGTATTATTTATTCAAAACACGCTAATTTATATTGTTCAAAACACGCCAGCCTTCTGTTCAAAGGTCAAATTGTCTCCACAGAAACGGCAAGCAGCACTTTCGCTTTAAGGCGGGTCTGGGCAGAGGCTGTGTAGAAGTTTCCTATTTGATCACACAGCTCTGGTTTTCAGTCCTTGGCTCCACCTCTCAACTCCCAGCTCTAGTCTCCTTCGCTTCGTTCCTTCTGGATCTTCTCCTCTAAGTCTGTGGCCTCTTAGGCAGCTGCCTTTTTGGTGGCTTTTAAAAAGATGAATCCCAAATACCCATCTTCAGAGCAGTGTGGGTTTTAGACTCCCTGGCAATATTAGGGTGGAGTGGGTGGAGACACTTTGTAAAATATGTGATTAAAGTATATGAAAACCACTATGCAGTACACCTGAAACTAGTACAAAATATTAACTGCAAAGTGTAATTTAAAAATAAAATTTAAAGTTTTTTAAAATATATGTATATAGCCCCGGGGGGTGGGGGGTGGGGGGAGTGTCTTAGCTGGTTGGCGACATCCACTGCACCAAAAGGTTGCCAGTTCAATGTTGCACTCTCATATCGGAGTGTCTCTATCTCTGGCCAGACCTGAAAAGTGTAGATTCCTCAGATACATATTTTAATTTCTAGAATAAACACACATACAAATATTTAATTAACCCAAAAGGAGACAGGTGATCTGAGTATTTTGGCTGTGTAACACACCACCACAAACATAGAGATGTGCAACAGTAATTTATTTTGCTCATATATTCTGTGGGTCAGGAATTAGGACTGGACTCAGTGGGATCTGCTTGTCCCTATACCATGATGTCTGGTATCTGAACTGGAAGGTCAAAGGCAGGGGGATAAAATCAGCAGAAGGCTTATTTTTTCATGTCTGGGAGTTGATGCTGGCTCACACCTGGGGGCGTCATTTCTCCTATTTGGGGGTCTCAAAGTGGACTTATGGCATGGGCTAGTTTGGGCTTCCTCACAGATTGATGTGTTCCAAGGGCAAACCTCCTGAGAAAAGACCAAGTGGAGACTATATCCTTTTTTATCATAGATTTGGAGGTCATATTGCATAAATCTCTGGCACATTATATTGCCTGTAGCAGTTACAAGTCCCCATGAAAGTTCAAATAGAGAGAACATAGCCCACAGACAAGACTGTCTGGGTCGCAGGCCACTCCAGTGTGAGATGCCCCTCTGGTCGGGAGGATGGGGAGGCCGGAGGTCCATGGACCCCCATGGCTGCCTTAAAGGAGGGCTGGCCGCCCTCCCCACGGGGTGGAGGGCATCCTGTGAGCAGCAGGTGTTCGTGGGCTGTGGGTGTTAGGCCTTTAACCCAACTTCCAGCGATGGGGAAGCCCCACCCCTCTGCGTGAGGAGCCAGGTAGCCCCGCTGAAGGGACAGAACGGAACTTGAAAGAACTGAGCAGAAATACACCCTCCTCCCTCTTCAAGGACGAAACAGAAACATACTCTTCTCCCTCTCCTCTATCTTGTCTTGCAAGGCTGGGCCCTCAGCCCAAGCCGCCCCCCCACCCCCGAGAGTGACCACAAGAATGCTGGTATTGTCCTAACTCTCCCAACCACCCACCTGAGTGGACCAATGAAGCTCCAGAAATGTAGCTAAGGTCCTAATAAGGCTATAGTGGAGGACGGCTCCAACCTTCAGAATGTGATGGTCACTTCCTGACCCTTATGCTGTAAAACCCTGACCAATCTCTGTAACTCACGTCACCCCTAAAGCCCACCCCAAATAGCTAGCCCTATATAACCTTTGTTCTCCTGGGACACGCTCTCTCGCCTCACCGCTGCGCCGGATAGAGGCTGGGAGCCAATTCGAGAATTGATCAATAAAGACTCGTTGCTTTTGCATCGGAGGGGGCTCCCTGGTGGTGGATTGTTGGGGACCCCGAACTCTGGGCATAACACCCGCCAGTGTCTCACTGGTCAGGTGACCCAGGGGGCACGGTGTCTGGAAGGGTAGGGGAGTGCCTGTGGGACCAGCCTGAAGTGGTTAGGAGGTGAACCAGGGCCTTGGGATCACCAGGAAGTGGTCAGGTCAGCAAGGGGTTGGGGCGTGATGACCAGCAGGCTGGAAGTGGTGACGTCATCCAGAGGGAGGGGCCAGGTGGATCACCGGAAGTGGTGACCGCAAGGGAGGGCGGGGCCCAGGTGAAGGCCTGGAGGGGGTCAGGTCAGCAAGGAGGTGGGGCCCATGGACCAGCTGGAAGTGGTGATGTCGTCCAGGGGGCAGGGCAGGTCGACAGCCAGAAGTGCTGAGGTGACCACAGGGGTGGGCTGGGCCCTGGGCCCAGGTGAAGCTTCGGAAGTGGGCAGGTCAGAAAGTGTGTGGGGCACAGGAACCAATGGGACCTGCGGACATCGAGGGGGAGGGGCCAGGTGGACACCCGGAAGTGTTGACGTGACTGCAGGGGTGAGCTGCAGGTGAAGGCATGGAGGCGGTCATGTCAGCAAGGAGGTGGGCGCAGGGACCCACTGGACGTGGTGACGTCGTCAAGGGGGAGGGGCCAGGTGGATCGCTGTGATGGAAAGGCTGAGCTGGGCCCAGGTGAAGGCCCGGAGGGGGTCAGGGACCAGCTGGAAGTGGTGATGTCGTCGTCGAGGGGGCGGGTCAGGTCCACTGCCAGAAGTGATGAGGTGACAGCAGGGGTGGGCTGGGCCCAGGTGAAGGCCTGAAAGCGGTCAGGTCAGCAAAGGGGTGGGGCCCAGGTTCCAGCTGGAAGTGGTGACGTCATCGAGGGGGCGGGGCCAGGTCTACAGCTGGAAGTGAAGTGACAGCAGGCGTGGGCTGGGCTTAGGGAATCCTGGAAGTGGTCAGGTAAGGCAGTGCTCTGGCCAGGCCAATAGGTGGAGGTGGTCAAGTGGACAGGCTGGTGGTGCCACGTGAATGCGGATGATGGTCACAAGCAGACACAAACATCCATAGACCCTTCCTCATATTGGGAGAAATATTAGTTACATTGTTTTCAAAAAAGCATGTGGACCCTAGCCAGTTTGGCTCAGTGGATAGAGCATTGGCCTTTGAAGTGAAGGATCCTGGTTTGATTCCAGTGAAGGGAATCTATCTCGTTTTCAGGCTCCCAGTCCTGATGGGGTGGGGGGTTTGGGGGGTGTGTGGAAGACAATGAATTGATATGTCTCTCTCACATTAGTGTTTCTCTCAATCTCTCCCTCTGCCTTCCACTCTCTATAAAAATCAATGGAAAAATATCCTTGGGTGGATTAAAAAATTTTAAAAAATGTTAAAAAAAAGCTTATGGGATGAAATACATTTGTATATGCATGTCTATTTGTTCAGCTGTCTTTGGGAAATATAATCTGCCACAATAGGAAAAGAGGAATAAAAGAATAAATAATAAAGGGCTATGTATATCAGTATAGGGGGAAAAAGTATGTTATGGTATTGTCCATGGTTTCAGGCATCCTCTGGGGGTCTTGGAACATATCCCACTTAGATATGTTATTCTCTAGCCATATTTAAAGTCTGAACAAAAAATAATTCCTGATTAATCACATCCTCGTTTAACCATTTTGTCATTCAGAACCATTTGAGAAGTTTCTACAAATTAAGTACCCTAAGTGTACAAATACTCACTACCCTACTGGATATTCATAGGTACTCAAGGGCACTTTTGAAAAGTTATAGAAAAAAAAAAGGGGGTTTGAAATAAACACTATCTCTTTTAAAGAGAACACCCTTTTATAGAATCTGGTATATTTGTTACAGAAAAAGTCCCAGCACTTTATAATTGGCACATATTCTTTTTTTTTTTTCATTTATAATACTTACACTAAGGAAATGACAAGGCAGAAAAACGAATTTCACCTTTAAAAACACAACACAACACAATTCAAGAAATCTACTTTAATTTCAATAGAGATTACTTCAGAATGAACAGAATCATTCTGTACTATTTGCAGTTGTGCAGGAAACCAAACAGTGAAACATCTTTCCATAACATCCTCCACAGACTTTTATATTTCTATCATACATGTCTAATCTCTTTCCTCAACTGCGTCTATACTGCATATAATACTACCCTAGATTTAAGAGCAGTGACAATATGAAAACATTTTCTTGCCTATGAAGAATACAGCCACTTCTGAACACGCCATAGCCTTATATTTTAAACCCAAGTTAGTGTCTGGAGAAGAAAGTTTTCATAAATTATTCATGACCTGATTCTATTTTTTAAAGTTTCAGCAAATGTGGAAAAAAAAAAAAAAGAACATCTTGACATCTTGTTAATTGTCAATTGATGATGTTATGAGAAGGAAAAAAAAAATCGTTCTTCCACAGAACAAGTGGTTTTGGAGAACAGTTCTGATAGTATTTCAAAGTATCAAAAGGTCTGATAGGTGGCCTCCTTGTTGGGGGGAGGGGGGCGGGGAGATGATTACAATAATTTCAGTTCCTCTTCTGAATTGCTCAGTAGCCCCACGTGATTTTTATATTGGGAGGCAGATTGCTGGCCACAAGGTCATCAAATTTAGATCCATCCTGAACAGGCACCTTATAGAACTCGAGGACATCCCTGACCCTGCACATCTCATGGAGCCTGGAGTTAGGCACTGCGTGGCCCAAGTCATCAGCTAAACGTGCCAAGAAACTGAACTTCAGGCGCCCGTCTTCCAGGGAGATGTCCTGCCAATTGCTAGGAGCAGATGAGCCAAAAATGTCTTGGACGCTCGATTGCAAACGGCTCTGGAGATCTTCAGGAGGTACGTACGTTCGGCTGCGTAAGGGCGGGCACGCCAGGACGGGTTCTGTCTTCACCTCCTCTACCGCCTCAGCCACCACTGGCTTTTTCTGTTCTCTGCAATGATCAAAACCTAGTACCTGAATCTCTGGCTCAGTGTGTGAGTGAAGCTGACAAACACGACACGTGGATGCCCCCCCCCCCCCCCCCCCCCGCTCGCGGAGACCGGCGCTGAAGCCCAACTCGGAACCCTCACACACTAGCCAGGCGCAGGACCAGGGTCCCATCTCAACAGCACGGCATTCCCTTTGGCATTCGTCCCTTCATCTTCCTCCGTGTCTTCCCTTACTTTCCATGACTCTGACCCACCACCTAAACTTTCGCTTTACCTGAATCGAGACCAAAATTCTCGACGTGGGACGCCTGCGATGATCCACGTGAGGCCTTTTCTCCAAACGCCGGGCACTGAGACCGCTGCCATCTCTGCGGAGAGCTACGCGACGGAGCTCCGCCCCCGGCCGGCAGTGACGCTCCAAGACTAGCCAATCGGGTGTAAGCTTAGTGACAGATGGTCTCCGTTCCTAGTAAGAGTCTCCTGCGGCCTGCTGGGAAGTGTAGTCCTGAGGAGGCTGGACCGCGACGCTCTCTCGGAGCATGACGGGAGTTGTAGTTCGGCGGAGTCCCGGGAAGGTTCCGGGTGACGCCTTCTGGTCCGGGGGCGGGCGGTCGGAGCGCTCCCGGGCTGAGAGGAGGAGAAACTGACAACGGGGAGGAGGCTCTAGCGAGGCCTGGAAGGCTGTGCAACCCGGCAGGGGAGGGAGTTCGGGGTCTGGGGGCGGCCAAGGAGCGCTTCTGAAATGCTGCTGGGGTCGTGACCGCTCGGGACCGAGCCGGGACCTGGCCAGATCCAGCCTGGAGGCCTCTCCCTGGTCGGGCCTAATCTCCTGCGGTCGGATAGGCCTCCTCGGAGACTCCTTTCCGTGCGCGCTCCAGGTTCCTGCCCGAATTTCTGGCCAGGAGATGGCTGCCCCGAGCTCCCCGCTGGACCCAAAGGTAAGTCGCCCCTCCGGGTTTCCGCGTTGTCTCAGCGCCACTCCAGCTAGGCCGCGCTCCCCCGCCCCCCTGGTCCCCCGACCCGGCCTTCAGGGCCCGCCCAGTGCGGGGAAGTCTCATTCCCTGCTGCTCGGGGGTGCGGCTCGCGATGAAGCTGCCCCCAGGCTCCGTTTCATCGGGAGCGACCTGATAAATGGGCACGTGCTCCCTTCCAGGGCTCCCTTGGCCAGTGTTCCAGGTGAGGCATCGTTCTGGACCCTCCTCTGCGCCTTCCACGCCTGTCGCTATGCTTGGCGCCAGGACAGACGCTTAGCGAGCTGAGTAGAATGGACCTGAACAGGATCCCAAGCCAGTGCGAAAGGAGAATAGGAGCGGGGTGATGAGGTGAAGGAAGCTTGAGGGGCTCCTTGGGGAAGCTCGCTAAAATTACAATGTTAGGGTATAGTTATTCAACCACAAAAAGCCTTATCCGTAGGCCCCCGCCTCCCAAGGACAAGGGCCCCGCTCAGTTACCGTCTATTGTGGGGTGCCCTGGCTAGTGTGTGAGGGTTCCGAGTTGGAGTCGGTTCCCAGAACGGGGCCCCGTTTGGAACTCTCAGTCCCCATGTTCCTTCTAGCCTAGCCGGCCCCCACACGTGCCACTGTCGGTGGTGGAACTGTCCTTGAGACAACAAGGACTGACCACAGACATCATACTGTTTCAGGGGTTGCTGACATTTGAGGATGTGGCTGTGTTTTTTACCCAGGAGGAGTGGGATTATCTGGATCCGGCTCAGAGAAGCTTGTATAAAGATGTCATGATGGAGAATTATGGGAACCTGGTCTCGCTGGGTAAGAATCCGCTGTTCCTCTCTGATTGAAATACCTAAGAGGCTGTCAGACATCAGACTCTGAGAACACTAACCTTCCCGCCATTCACTGTTTTCCTGACTCTAAACCCCCTCTCATCCTTGCAGGGACCACAATACGAGCCTTTCTGGCTTCCTATCTTCACAATCTCATCCCCATATTGCTCTGTACTTTCCCTCCTGGCTCATCCTCCCACTGCTCTCCTCCCACCCCTTGTCACTCTGCCTTCTGGAGCCGCTGTTCCTCTTCACATAATGTTCCGTACCCCTCCTGGCCTTCACTGAAACCTGGCACTGCCCCAAGGACACCACATCTCTGGGAGGGACTGCTTATTCTCCCACGTCCTCTTCCTTCCCCATCCTCTGTCTCAAGGCTGGAAGGGAGAAATTAGTCTTCTCCCAGCTTTTCCATGCTCTTCCCAAAGCATTCGTTTTCCAACTTCAAGCACAGTATCTCCCCTCCGAGGCCTCAGCAGTCTTGCTCTGTCCACTCAATTCCTTTTCACTGCCAGGTGTGAACTGTTTTTGGATCCTCACACATAGACTTGGTCACGTGTTTCAGAGTCCTCTGTGCTAACCCACACCGTTGATGATACAGTCATTCCTTAAGCCTCAGTGCACCTTGACCACATTGTCTTCAGGGACCCTGCTTTCCCTTTTTATTCGGCAACTCACATCAAGGATCAGACCCTTCATTTTATCATAAGAGGCAAAAACTTAAATATCTTAGTCTTTGACCAAGTACTCAGGTATTTATTGACTGTAACTCAATAGGGATTATCAAAACAAACATAATCTCAATTGGAGCTTACTATAACTTCTTCCTTACCTTTCTTCCTCTCCTACTCGTTTCCTAATAAAGCTATTCATTCTTAATGATGTCTCCTGTTCCTTGACTTCTGTTTTTGTTCTCCTCTTGCCTTCACCTCCTCATTTATTCCAAGAATCTGTATATGAAGTTATCACCAGCATGCTCTCTTTCATCCACCTTGTCATTATTCTCTACCCATTCTATAAGCTTAAAATCCTATATTCATTATTAAATCTGCCTTTTCTCTCCTATCTGAGTTATTAAACACAGCAGGAGAAATTCTTTAATGAAAAGGATTGATGCTTTGTATATATGCATGGTTTTTCTTCTAGTCTCCACTGGCTTTTTACATCTCAACAAGTTTTTACTCTTGATTTGCTCATTCCCTGTTTCTTTGGTGACTATTCCAAAAACGAGCGTTTTCATTCGGTCCATTACTCAGTAGCAGACCTCACCTTCTGTTTCACCAAGAAGACAGAGGCCACTAAACATGAACTCAACTTTTTAGCCCTCATCTGCACACTTAAGGCTGCCCTTATCTTCCTACTTCTCCAGTACTTAGACATCAGCCATCCTTTGCTTTTTCCCCTCTTTAGCTTCTGTCTCTATTCCTTCTCCTCGGATGTCTTTATTCTGATAATAGGTATGTTCTTGGCTCTTTCAATTGGGGAAAGAAGAAGGAAAAGAAAAAAAACTATCTTTTGAGCCACAGTCTGCCTCTTGCTGCTCCCTGTAACCTGCTACTTGTTCTCTTCACAGCCAAGTTTTTCTATGTGTAGTTAATATGTTTTGCACTTTTGTTCTTTAAGCCTTTTTTTTTTTTTTGCATCTACCACTCCCTTTTAGTTGTTTAACATTGGTCTGTAGCCCAGTTGTCAAATGCAAAAGACTCTCTTTGGACCTTATTTTATTCTACTTCTCTATGGATATTTGAAATTCATTATTGCTTCGTTCAGTTGCCTTGCACTCTCAGACTTCCTCTCAGTGTATATACTTTCCTTGGTGGACCTTATCTACATTCATTTCATCGGCTACCACCACGTGATGATAAGTCTCATATCTTTATCTCCACCTAAGAGAGATGATATGGAGCCTAACTGTCTAAATAAAAATCCTAGTTCCACCACTTACTAGTCTTGTAACCATGGGTGAAGTAATTAACTTATCTGTGCCTCAGTTTCTTATTTTATAAAATGGGAATGATAACACCACTTACTTCTTAGGGTTATTGTGAGCATTACCTGAGTTAATATATATAAAGCACTTAGGACACTGACTAGCATGTAGTAAGTACAATATAAATCTTGGTTGCTATCATGACTATCATTGTCATCTTCTTTGTTGAGCTCTGAATTCCTAGTCATCTGTTTTTGAAGACCACACAAGACACCTGACAAATCTCAAATAATCCATTAAGACCTCAAGGGCCTCTTCTTCAGAATTGAGCACTCCTTCCTCTGCTACCTTGTATACACATACATTGTTTAATTTATCACACTTTACTATAATTATTCTTTATGTTATTTTTTTAACTAGATTGATCTCCATGAGGCCAGTAACTATTTTTTTCATTTAATTTCTCCAGCACTTAGGACAGAACCAGGCATATATTATATACTTCTTAAGTATTCATGTGTCTGAGTGAGTATACTTAAAAGTCATAACTTGGCTAGATTATTACATTTGCCCTCTTATTCTAGTCTCCCTTTGTTTTAATATGTTCTCTTTTTGCCACCAAAATGATTTTTTGTTAATTAATTGCTTACAACTTCTGGTGATTCCTGATAGCTTAAAGGATAAAAATCTTGATTTCTTATCATATATACTAGGACCTCCTTAATATAGTTTCTGCCTGGCTTTCTAGCTTCATCTATTTCTGACCACCAGTTCAATCTACAGCAATATCAGCTGCTGATTTTTTAAAAAATACATGCTTATTGATTTCAGAGAAGAAGGGAGAGGGAAAGAGAGAGAGAGAGATAGAAACATCAATGATGAGAAAGAATCATTAATTAGCTGCCTCCTGCATGCCCCCCACTGGGGGATCAGCCCGCAACCCAGGCATGTGCCCTTGACCGGAATTGAACCTGGGACCTGTTAGTCACCAGGCCGACACTCTGTCCATTGAGCCAAACTGGCGAGGGCCGATTTGTTTGTTTGTTTGTTTTTTTCAACATTCCGTGGTGTCTCTGAGTTACTGCCAGCTTTATCCACATACATGGTATCCTGGTTGATAGAACCAGGCAAATGACCAGCCTTTCCTGTCCCTAGTGCTGCAAAATGTGAGTACCATATGGATAAAGGCATGGCAGTGAGCCCATTTGTGGTATCCTACTCTTGGGCTCTCTTCTTTGGTGAAATACAGCTTTTCATCATTTATTCCACAGTCTCTTTATTCTCCTCTGTAGACTCTATCTCCATCCCCTTGAGAGCTCCCTTGATGAGATATCACTATTAGTTGATTGTTCCAATGTAGTGCTTTCCTGCACTTCATCTTGTTGCTTTACTTAACACAATACTAATAGATTTGTAATTTTGGTTCATTATTTATACGTTTCTTTCCTTGCTGATATTCCTTTAAAAACTTTAATAGCTACATTGATAATACAGCTGACAGCTTGATTTCTCAGTTCTTGGTCTTTCAGTCCTTTCTATGAAATCGACTTCTTCAGTTTTAATGATTTTTCTCCAGTCTACTTGACCATATTAGCCTTTGAGCCTTTGACAGAACTGGGAATTGCTGTACTTACAAGACTGTAAACTCATTGTTTCCTTCTTTGATTATAATCTCTTTGTACTTATTTGTTCCACTACTCATTCATTTAATAAATATTTATCAAGCACTATGCTAGTTCTAAGAATACAAGTTCTTCTCCATCCTCCCATTCTTTTACCAGAAAATTG